TTAGTTTGATCGACAGCAGGATGAGAAGGGAGGATTGAAGTGAAGTCTTCACCAGTTCAGCAGCTCTGCTCCTTTGACCCAAGAACCAAGAAACCCAAACTTTTCTCTCCCTAAATCTAACCAGTGTTTTTTCATCAAACACCAGATTATCTAGAATATCAAGAAGCCAAACAAAATAATAGTTTCTAGAGATACTCCACCAATGAAAAAATGAGGATGTATGATCTGAAAAGGTTTTTACTAGAAGCTGGGAAATTGTACCCTAAGTCCTGTGTGGTTTTTTGTTGTTGTTTTTAGAGAGGGGAAGGGGGGGGATGGTATGGGGGAAAGGAGAGAGAGAGAGAGAATTTTAATTAAGCAGGCTCCATACCCAGTATGGAGCCCAGCACAGGGGTCCGCCTCACAACCCTGAGATTAAGAATGAACTGCTTAACTGAGCCTCGCACGTGCCCCATGTCATGTATACTTTCAGCCTGTAGGAGCACTCCTCTTAAGCTAATTGCTGTTATAGTGAGAATACCATCACCTTGAGAATCCCAGTTGTCTTCTTTCTTTGGAATGATATTGTGTTATGCTAATATGCTACCTCTACTGTATCCACATCTCAGTTCATAAGGTTTATATGCTCTCCTCTAATTGGTTGGGTTGACCTTCCCAGGACATACCTAAGGTAGCCCTTGAAAGCTATTAAAAAAAAAAAAAAAAAAAAAACAGGGAGTCCAGATAGCTCCAAAGGTCAGATGAAAGCAGCAGGAGGGGGAGGAATGTCCTAAGTGAGGAGAGAGCAAGGATTAACTGGAAGTCCTGCTTTCTTGAATATCTGGATCTAGGGACATCATCTTCCCTCATGTCTCCTGGATCACTCATCACCTAGACTTTTTTTTTTTATTAAAGTTCACCCCAAAATCAATTGATAACGCAAATCTTAACATGCCTTAAAAAATGATAAACAGGGGCGCCTGGGTGGCTCAGTGGGTTAAGCCACTGCCTTCGGCTCAGGTCATGATCTCGGAGTCCTGGGATCGAGCCCCGCATCGGGCTCTCTGCTCAGCGGGGAGCCTGCTTCCTCCTCTCACGCTCTGCCTGCCTCTCTGCCTGCTTGTGATCTCTCTCTGTCAAATAAATAAGTAAAATCTTAAAAAAAAAAATGATAAACGGCAAACTGTGATACTTGCTTTCAGTTGCTCCCAGCGGGTGGAAATCAGTGTCCTTCATCAGTTTCTACAGGGCTTTCTGTGGGAGCTATCTCCTACAAGTATGCCTGGAAGGACAGAACTGGTACAGCAGGCACAGACTTGAGCACCCTTAGCAGTACCTTTCTCGGCATGCTGTCCTCTGTGGAGAAGTTCATTTAGGCCTCTCGAAAACCCAGTGGAATCTACCTTTTCCCATCCAGGAACCTGATTGCTGCATGGTAGCTCTAACCTATTTCTTGTTTTTAGGTGTTAATATTTTATATCTGCCTCCTCAGTGGTGGCCAGACAGTATATCCAGCCATACTGTGCAGTCACATATCTGTCTGAGAACTTTCTTTGGGGTGACGACAGGACATAAAAAGCTTCATAGTGTTTCCAGACCATCCTAAATGAGAAAGGTTAATTATGTGTCATTCTTATAAGGAATAAGTCAGTGGAAATGATTAGCATGCTTTGATGTCTATGTAATAGCTAAAACTGATACCTGGTAAAATCCCAATTTCCTTGTCTTCGTGAAAAGAAACACTTTCTTCACTCTAGAGGCAACTGCCCAAGGCTACAGGGTGGGCTGGACTTAAAGTTGAAGATGTAGCTAAAATCTTACCCAACAAATTAGATGTTTACAAGGAGGAAACTAAAGCATTTTCAAGTGAGGTCCCACATTTTAGGAATAACAAAGTCAATAGATAAACGTGATCTGTCAGTAAATGAATCAGGTCTCAATCAGCGTATACCATGCAAGGTAAACTTCTGTTTCAGTTAGGAGGAAGCAAAAGAAGGCACAAGGCAGAGCAGTTTGATTATACATGGGTCCTTTTCCATACCTAAGACATGGTGTGACAGGTCTGTCTTGGAGAGACTGACAAGAATGGTTCTCCCAAGGGGGTAGGTGGGGGAAGAATGATTATCTCATATGGATAATGAAATTTGAAAAAGGTAGCTCTGCCTAGAAGCAGCAAGAGAAAGTAAGTGGTCTCCTGAATTGTTAAATTGTTGTTTCATTTGGTTGTCTGTGAGCTCAGTTCCCTGAATCAAAGGTCCTAAGCTAACTTACTGCTCTAACGGACATCAGCAGCCAGTATAGTATTTCTACAACCAGAAAGGGAATGAGGGAGGGGGGTCAGGGCAGGAGAGGAAGCCAACATTTTAAGAATGTACTTCCTCATAACTATCACATTTAATTTTTACCACAAGAGTAGCTGGTAACTTGCACAAGGTCACATAGCTAAAAGATGTCAAAGCAACAATTAGAGCTGAGGTCCAGCCAAGGACATCCCACTCTTTCCCAGAAACATTAACAGTTTAGTTCAGTGAGTCTTTACCAAGCACCTGTCATGTTCTGGCACTGAAGGTGTCACTGGGAATAAATGCTTGGATCACTGCATTAAGGACCCTCCCACCCCAACAACATATCTTTTTTTTTTTTTTTAATTTATTTATTTATTTTTAAAGATTTTATTTGTTTATTTGACAGAGAGAGATCACAAGTAGGCAGAGAGGCAGGTAGAGAGAGAGGAAGGGAAGCAGGCTCCCTGCTGAGCAGAGAGCCCGATGCAGGGCTCGATCCCAGGACCCTGAGACCATGACCTGAGCTGAAGGCAGAGGCTTAACCCACTGAGCCACCCAGGCGCCCCCAACATATCTTTTTTAAATGTATGTATGTATATCTTTACATTTCTCTAACCTTCTCTTCTCATAATTCATGAGTTTCAGGAAGCCTTTGTGGTTGGAGCCCACTGGTGAGCACACTTGCTCACGTGGGTTCCTCCCATCGCTTCAGACGATTGTTGATTCTGTTCATGGTGCTCTCCTGACTCATGCAGCTTATTCTGGGCATTCTATTCCTTGGGACCTCTTCTGCAGGGCTTTGCGTGCAGTGGGTTCTTAAATTCAGTAGACCCTTAACATTTGCTGGTATGGAGTTGATTCTTAATTCATGAATCTTTGGCATGTCAGTTTACAGTCCTCCTGGGATATGAATTTGAATTCACCCAGATGCCTTAAAGGCTGGACATTATCACTAAGCTGGTGAGTGGGCATTGAATACAGTGTAGCATCTCAGTTTTACTTGAGTAGACTTGAAACGTGTTTATACGTTAATTAAATTCTAAAGAAGTGATTAAAATTTAGTGTCTTTGTTTAAAAATAGGATTTAAGTAAGAGAAACAACCCTAGGGGCGTCTGGGTGGCTCGGTTGGTTAAGCTTCTGCCTTTAGCTCAGGTCAGTGATCTCAGGGTCCTGGGATCGAGCCCCACATTGGGCTCTCTGCTCAGCAGGGAGCCTGCTTCCCCCTCCTTCTACTTGCCTCTCTACCTACTTGTGATCTCTCTCTCTCTCTGTCAAATAAATAAAATCTTAAAAAAGAGAGAGAGAGAAACAACCCTAGTTAATGTTGATAGGGTCGTCATTGATAGTGTAGGCTAGGCATATGGTTCTCACTGAAGATCAGTTATAAATGTGAGACGGAAATTCCTCAATTCCAGATTTGAAAGCTTAGGATACTCCAAGCATCTGAGAAGGCTAAAGATGCACCATTTACTTTTCTTACTGGCTTCCCCATCTCCAGTGGTCCACATCCGCATGTTGAAAAGCCTTTGTTTAGTCCAGTGGTGCTTGGCCAGGGCTATAAAACAGAATCCCCTGGGGGACTTTAAAGAAATACATGTCAGAAGGCACTACTCTAGACCTTGGGAAAGAGGGTCTCTAGGATTGACGTTGGGATATGTGCATTTTGAAAGTACACAAAAGAATTCTTATGAATATACTCATGATTTAGAGAGAGAATTCCTTTCAGCAAACACTTCTGGACCGCTTTAGGGGGTGGATCTGTATTGTACTGCCATGCTCTGTTGGTTGGCAGACCAGTGGCTTCCAGGGACTGTGTAATGCTTCTACAACAAAGCAGTATCATTGAGCGAGTCCTCAGTAGTCAAAGAATTTATTATTCATTTTGTAGATTATTGGGCCCTTGTTTCCCTTCCTCCTCCTCTTCTGGGTCATTGAGGACTTTATTGTTCTTCAGTATCTCCAAAGAGAAAATAAGTAAATACATTGAAATCAACTGAGTTTCTGTTTGCCTGAGTTCTTTAAAAAAAAAAGTGGAACTAAGAAGGTAATGGTCATCTATGATTTTTAAAAATGTAAAATATCAACGTAATTTTTGTTTGTTGTTTGTTTACAACCATAGATAGACCATCGGTAGATAACCAAGCTTACAGTGTGCATCTACAAAACTCCTTTCTGCTGGGACCTCAAAGTACTTTCTTATTCTTTTAATTTTCTAACCACCCTCCTAGGGACTAGGATTCCTGTTCCCTGCACCCTCTTACTCACCCTTCACTAGGGGTCTAGGGTAAAGCCAGGAACTGTCCTCTGTTTTAATATTTGTAGATTGCAGTACTCAGGGCAGGGCTGGGGGTTTGTGAACCAAAGGAAGTTAACAGAATGGACATTGAGATCCAGAGAGGCTAAATGCCACACAGAAAATCAGTCCCTCCTAGAACACAAGGATGGTTTGTTAGGTGGCGCGGATAAGAGTGGGGGTGCAGTTTTTGATCATTTTACAGTTTGCTGACTTCCAGTTAAAAAAGATGCTTTCCCCAAAGTCTCAAATCTACTGAGTCATGGAAGACTGGCTAAGTAGCCTTCTGTGCTGTCCGTTGAATTGCTCTTCTTAAATTGCACCCGTACCTCCAACTGTGAAGTTGAGACATCTGATTTGAAAAGTGCATTTGTAAATGGAAATAATAATTATCAGTCCCTTGTTAATGCTGGTTTTTTGTTTTGTCTCTTCCTTTCTCTAGCATGAAAGACTTTCTAGGTAAGACCTTTCCCTGTTTTATATGCATGCTTAATACTTGTGAGAAGTGCATGTCTAATTGAACTTAGCTTTATATCGTACGCTCATATTTCTCACATCCTTTCCTTCCATTTCCTCAGCCACCACGGTAGTTCAGACTTCTGTTATTTCCTGCCCAAGTTAATGCCGCAGCTTTTCAACTTACCTCCTGCCTTCAGAGTCTCCTCCTTCCAATTCGGTTTATGTACTTCCACCACATCAATTTTCCTACAGCACCTACCAGGCACTGTACTACAGAAACAACTTGAATAAAACCCTATCCTCACCTTCAGTAAGGGCCAAGATAGTAGTATGGACAGGTATTATGAGCAGAGAGAAAAGGCCATTAGCCTAATCTGGTGGTTCAGGGAAGACTTTGTTGCAGGGTACATGCCTAAATTGTGATTGCGTTTAGATACTCTCACTTAATAGTGAACCTAACACAATTCCTTGTACCTAGATGGTGCTCTGTAATAAATTATTGAATGAGCTAAAGACCATAGTTGCAAGTGCTGAAAAATTAAGGAAACAAATCAGAGTTTGGGGAATGATCCTAATTTTTCATCTAGCATCTGAGGATACAAAACTGATCTTCCTGAAGAACAAATAAAAAAATATAAAGACTGTGGAGCCAAAAGTATGAACCTCTCCCTTTCCACTTTTCCTCTGATAGAGAAACTAAGAAGAGATTGAGGGGAAATGTAGTTATGGGATAACATAGAACAAATGAGTCTTATAATTTATTTGATAATTGAGCTTATCCTACCTTAATATATATTTCAAAATGTGTAAACTTGCGTGGATTCTTCCTCTGCTTACCCTCTCACCAGGCGCAGGCTGAAGATAAATAATTTACATCTAACCCAGCAGAAAATTAGCTTTGCAAAACCGGTGGAGAGTGGTATTTTGCTATAGTTAATTTTTTTTTTAAATTCTGTTACATTATAATAGCCATTTATGAAAAGTGACTTCCCTATAGACCTCAAAATATGTTACAAAACTAATGGTTAAAAGAGCGAGGTATTAGTTCAGGAATAAACAAAGATATCAGTGGAACACAGTAGATAGTCCCCCAAAAGTCACGTGTGTATAAGGTGATGATGTCTCAGTTCTGTTGGGGAAGAGTTATTTGGTAAGTGATCATTGGCACAACCAACTATTTGGGAAGACAGATCCTTTCCTGAAGCCATACCAAAAAAACAAAACAAAACCAGATTCCAGATGGATTACAGTTTAAGAGAAAATTATTTTACTACAAAAGCAATAGAAGAGAATATTTATAATCTTTATATAGGAAAGACTCTCCCAGGCATGGTACCATAAAGGTAAAAATTGTCCAACTTAGTTATATAAAATGTAAAATCTCTGCTAGTAATAGATACCATAAACAGAGACAAAAAATAAAGTAGGAAAAAATATTTGTACCTTGTGTTCATCTTAAAAGCCTTGCTCTAAAGAATGCTCCCACCGTGTAACAAGCAAAAGATTAACAAAAGCTTTGAATAGACAATTCAGAAATGAAGATGAATAACCAAAGACACTCAACCTTCTCAGTGACCTACAAATATTTAATTTAATGAGAGTTTTTCTCCTATTGGATTAAACTCTCTGAAGGACAGTATGACAATATGTATATCAAAATTTAAAATAGACTTGCCCCTTGACCAGAGGGTTCCACTTCTAAGATTGGACAAATGCACTAAAATTTATAGACAAGTCTTTTCACTGTAGCATCATTTCTAATAGCTAAAAAGTTACAAATAATACCATTGTCTGTCACTAGAAGATTCAGTTGCCATATAACCACACAGTGGAAGACTCTGCATCATTTTTTTTTTTAATGAGGCAGATCTGTTTACTTACATGGTGAGATGCCTCCAAGTGGAGGGAGAAGGAGGAGAGTTAGATAATAGTATGTATTATCTGGTTTTATTTATAGAAGTATGTACATTTTAACATATCTATGTGTTTAACTTTTTGCAAGGATATGAAATAAACTGTTAATAGTGGGTTCTTTCTTGGGCAGGATTATGGAATGACTTTCACTTTCTGTTTTAGACACTTTGGTATTACTTACATTTTTCTTCAAGCATATATTGCTTTTGAAATCAGAAAAGTCAGTAAAGAGGTTTCTATTTACAAATTAAAAAAAAAAAGTGTAAGAAGAAAAAGAACGTTTCAAAGAACGCTGTAGGACTTAGCGTCTCTGTAAGACAGAGTGGCCATTAATGTCATTAGGAGCTTTGCCTCTCCCCCTCTGTGTCCTCCCTGTTGTCCCTTTACTACTTCTGACACTTAGTCCAGCTCCCTGACCCCCAGCTTTGGCAATAGCTATCACAGGACAGAGCCTTCAGATGGATGTTCCACAGCTGTAACTCTGCACACCATCCCCGTTCGGGGAGGGAGAGCTCTGCAGGGCTGGTCTGTACGTAGCAGTCTCGTGGGCCACATTTTCATTTGGAAAGAGCAAAGTCTGAGAAAAATGTAAACCACGGTTAAGAATCAGGATAATCGTTGTACACTTAAACAGATAATCAGCTGAGAGACCCTTCCACTAATGAACTTACCACTCCTGGAAATGAGGCCCCCGTCAACTCTCAGAGCTCAACTGCTGGAAGACGTAGAAACCCTCATCACAGTCCACAAGGTGGACCGGAGAACAGAGGGTAGAAAAATAGCTGTGTGGTACCCTGAAATGTTTGAGATTCCAACAGACCTGCAGTGCACCTAAAAAACATACGCACCATGTCCTCCTTATCATCCCCCCCAGGCCCCCTCCAGCTCAGAACTCTCAAGTCCATATGTTTCTGATTCATTGACAGTTCGTTGGAATCATTGTCTAAGAGCACTGAGATCCAAAAAACTTATGCTTTTAAAAGCACACTCTTTGAGGAAAGCTGTTCAACCCCAAACTAATTTGAAAAGCTCTAAGATTTAAGTCAGCACATGAGTCCAAACCGCCAATTTTTCAAGTAAGCTCCATTCTTGGCAAAAGACAACCGCCTCCTCCAAGCTGGCGCGGCTTAGCCCCGAGGTCCGAGAATGCTGGCGGAGGAGATTTGAGGAAGGAATGTGCCTTGTTTCTGGCCAAGGCTCTCAAGCGCTTCTTAGAAAAGGCGCAACTCCCCTGAAGCATTACCCTCCCCCATCTCTTCATTCTTGAAAACCAATATTTACCTTTAACATATCTCCGACAGGTTGGAATCAGGAGGTAGTAACCCTACAAGCAGCGATTCTTATGGTGACCGGGCCTCAGCGAGAGCCCGCCGCGAGGCCCGGGAGGCCCGCCTCGCCAGCCTGACCAGCCGCGTGGAGGAGGACAGCAACAGAGATTATAAAAAAGTAGGCTCCCTTTTCAATTTCCCGTTGTTGGGTTACAACATGTCGAGCTCTCAGCCTTTTCCCCAGTGGAGAAAAATGAGTATGGTTCCCATGAACCAGAAGAAAAGGTGCTTCCGTGATAAATCCGAGCAACTAATTCCTTTCGGGTTTCTTGGTTTGCTCCATCTCTCTTCTAGCTAAATACAGACCATTCCATATATTGTTTTTAGTGCAGTAAATCTATGCCTTGAATCTGGTATTTAGAGGTGTAGGAGAAAGTAAAGATTGACAGTTGTAGAAAGGGAAAATAAAAGTAGATTTTCGTGTGTCTGAGCCGTGGAGAGTCATTTGGTAAGACTTAAAATATTAACAAACGTGCTTTTCATGAAGTCCTGTGAATGTCAACCAAATACTTCTTGGTGATGGTAAATGATAATCTGGTTTGGGGGGGGTTAAAACACTTTACAGTTCATTGCCTTTGGTTCTTGCAGAAGAGGACCTAGCTCCAGGGGTCAGCTTGAAAACCTTCCCTTTCAAGTGCTTGAGATGCCAGGGGGAAAAACCGTTTTTGTTAACGAAATGTTTGTTTTGTTAATGTGTTAAGCAGAACTTGACTAAAATTAATATATACACTAGACCGGCTCTAAAAAAATAAAGTTCTCTTTGTACGGGGAACCGCAGTGACTATTTTTTCCCCTGGAGATTACCATTTTTGAAGTTGGAGCGCCATTCTATTCGTTTGTGTTCAGCACCTGGGACTTCACCAATACTGAGAGGCAAGAAACCAATTGGCTGAATATAATTTGTTTCCTAGACTTCCTCCATCTTCTCCATCTGCCCCACAATGATGGTCTGGGGCAGCGGGGATTCTCACAGGATGAAACTGTGGGAGTGCTAATCCTGGGAGCCCTGCCTAGTAGGTGACCTGATTCTTTTTCCCTCCCCTCAGCTCTACGAGAGTGCCCTGACCGAAAACCAAAAACTGAAAACAAAACTTCAGGAGGCCCAGCTAGAGCTAGCAGATATAAAGTCCAAGCTTGAGAAGATGGCCCAGGTAAGGGAGAAGAGGAAAAAGGCTGGGTGGCAGGGTGAGTGCGAGGAGGCAAAGTAACCTAGGGCTATGAGAGAGGGGAAGTGACAGGGAATGAAGACTGGCCCTCCCCAGAGACAGGAGGACAGAAGTGGAGATTCTCATCTGATTTCAGGGTTCAATCGGCATTTAACTTAAAGAGGAAAACTGATTGTTCAGTGAACAATTCCTAATAGCCTGAGTGCTAATAATTAATATTATGGATAATCTACTTATTTCTTAGTAGAAGGGTGTTAAGCAGTATCACAAGATTAGTGCCTAACAGTGTCTCCTGTCGTGATCATCATGTTTCAGTTCAGTTTATCTGCGGTCAGCTCCTAGAGAGGGATAAGCAAGACACCATTGAACCCAATGTAGAGAGGCAGCAAATTAGGCCTAGAGAAATAATGGTTAGCATGGGTCGTACAAGAAATTAAGGACAGGAGCACCTGGGTGGCTCAGTCAGTTAAGCATCTGACTCAGTTTCAGCTCAGATCATGATCTCAGGGTCGTAAGATAGAGCCCTGAGTTGCTCCTTGCTGAGCATGGAGCCTGCTTAGGATTCTCTCTCTCCATCTCCTTCGGCCTCTCCCCCTTCCTCATGCTCTCTCGTGCTCTCTGTCTCTCTCTTTAAAAAAGAAATCAATGTCTTGTTAGAATGTACAACCAGATCCCAAAGCAAAGATTCTGTCCTACAGCATATGTTACCTCCTCAAGCCACCACCGTTGTTCAGCCTAGGAATAAGGAATGTTAGCGGCAAACAGACCAGATAAACCCTTTTACTGCCAGGCCTGATTTAATTAGGCAACGCTTTAGAGGGAACTAGAGGCAATAAACTCATCACCAGTGAGACAAACACTGCAGCAAGTACCGTCTTGGGTGATTGCTGAGATGACAGGAAACCTATGGAATACCCAATGACTAAGAATTTTGAAAGCTGAACGGAGGTAAAAATGGCTCTTTACTGGGAAGCCATAAATGAAAACCAGAGACGGCTAGTTGTTCTGGCTGTATGATATAATGGAAAAGCAAAGCCTAAAACACTAGGAGTGTACAGTATTGAATACTCGGGGCTCGGTGGGGCAGGGGTGGTCAGGCACCTCAGATCATCTTACGGCATCCCCTCTGGAATGGGGTGAGCCAGCGCCGGGAGACCGCGCGACTTAACTGCAGACAGCTGGAATACGGGCGCTCTCCAGAGAGGGGCCCAGCCAGGCGCCCAGTGGGTGGCCTGGCCTGTGAACTGCCCGTCATTTGAAAGAGGCCCCCCTCCGCCTGGTTGGAGTAGCTGAGCATGGCTCTTCGGCTGGGGTTTGTAAGACCTACTGTAGTGATTCAGTGGGACAAGAGTGATTCAGTAGGACAAGAAAAGTGGGTCTCAATCCAGAAGAAAAAACACACACACGCACACACACACACGCACGCGCGCGCGCGGCAGGGGGATGGAACCAAATGAACCTCGAGGGCTCCGCTGACCCCAGCATGCCTGAGGCAGGCAAAACATCTCATTCACAGCACACCCGCGGAAGATTCCGAAGGCTGACTTTTCTTCTGAGTCATGCCACGAACTGACAACGATTAATTAATACAGACCTGCCGCTGCTTCCTGTCAGGAATGACCGGGGGTATTTTACAGGAAATGGGGGGGGGGGGTCATGTGAGGAGCCATGGGAGGACCCAATGTCACCTGCTCCCCACTTTCTCCAGAAGCACATTTCTTGACCTTTAGGGGTTCTTGGCTTTTCCTCCGGCTCCGGAGCAGTGAGCAGGCTAACAAGTGGTGACATTGACTCGCACGGGGGACACTGAAAATAAAATCAGCCCTTCCAGTCACCAGGGAAAAGGGCTTACTTTCTAGCCAACTGCTCTGCTGGGTGTGTCACAATATACTGAGTTTTGCCAAATACACATGATGGAAATTCAGAAGAAACAGTGGTGCTACAAACCAGTCCTCTGCTGTTTACTACAAATGGAGTGTCTGGCAGGACAGGAGGAGAGCCTGTCAGCCCCACACGTCGTAGGGAGACACTCACCACATGGACACATGCGACGTTTTACATGAAAGGTCTGCCCTAACTCTAACGGGGTTAAGATTTTAAAAGCAAAACAAAAGTTCTTTGTAGAAGTGAACTAGTTAAGGTCACTCTGTAGAAGGGGACTAAATGAAAATACTGAAATCGTGACAGCTTCTGTGCTTCTCAGGCTCAGGGGAGGGAGTCAGACGAGGATACAAACCAGCGCCCAGATCTACTTCTGCCTTTTTTCTTTTCCTTCCGCTTCTAGTAGATTCAGTGGAAAGGCAGATGGCCCTGACCTTCAGAACAGAAGGTGAAAGCCTAGGACAGGAGCCAGAAATCAGAGTTTTACTGTTAGCTCTAGTTATCCCTTAACATTCTGAAAAAAGAAACCTCTGCCAAAAGACCAGTATACTTTCTGAATTTTTAAAGTGTTGCTTGCACATGGTACTAGGCGAAATAAAAATAATCACCCCGTATTTATTAAATACAGTCTATTAAAAATATAAGAAATTTTATAGTGCTAAGGCCAAAAGGAACTTAAGGTTCATTTCCAGTCCCTGTTTAAGAGTCACTACCTGAAGATATTCTACTTTTTAGCTATGGTGGCTAAATCTTCTTGGCCCTTCTGTGATATTTATAGCAAAAATTAAAGATGTTCTAAGTTCCAGTCTTTTGTTCAGGTAAAATCTCACCTCACCTGGAAGCTCAGTATACAAAAGAGATGAAAGTGGAGCTGTTCAGTTCAAAGCAGGGCTGACTGCACGAGTGGGCTCTGAGAAACCGGGGAAGCCCGCCCACGCGTGCACCCACTGCTTTAAAAGAGAAACAGCGTCAGTGCCCAAAGCAGAAAGACGACAAGTGCAAAGGGATTGCTTAGCAGAGTGCCATGGGGCTTGGACCCTCAAGTTCATGAGCCTCTAACTTTCAAAGAAAAAAAGCCACTTTTCATTTCATCTGAGTCATGAGATTACTCACAGACCAGGAGAAGAGAGGGGCGGTGAGGTATAAGGAGACAGTTGGCCTTGAAGACCTAACAAATGTTTGTGTGTCTGTGTTGTGGGGATGTCTTTGCACTTGGGACTGTGCTAAATCTTAAGAAGCATTACTACCACCTCTGCTCCCTCGTGGGAATCCTGCAAACTTCAGAAAGGCAATAATGTCAGCCCTAGAGATCTATCGGAATCTGTTAGCTAGGGGTTTCTGCCCCAGTGAGAGCCCAAGCCCTGACCTCTATTTCTGGGTGTCTCACGGGGAAGCTGAACCAGACTGGGCTTCGTAGTGACCCTGAGACAACCGAAGTGACCACTGTTTGTCTTCAATTTGCACTAGCAGAAACAAGAGAAGACCTCTGACCGATCATCAATGCTGGAGATGGAGAAAAGGGTATGTGTGTGTTTCTTCCCCCTCCTCTGTTTCATCTGAGTTTCTCTGACTTTGTTGTTCAGGCCAATGGAAAAAGTTCGTCTTAAGAAGGCGGGAGTTCTGCCACATTCCATTCCTAGCTTGATAATAAATTCTTTTTGTGTGACTCTAGACAGCAGTTTGATTGCTAGTCCTTTTGGCTTCTTTAGATGGTTAGTGCTTTTCACTTAGTCCAGTCTTAGGGTCTGGGGTGGGTCCTTGGAAGGTCATCCCATGCACTGGTTTGGCCTATAGGCAGAACTGCACACACACACACACACACACACACCCCTACAGTATATTTTGGTTTACTGTAAATCAGCACACATGTACACATCCGGACCAAGGTCTCTTTTCCCTTCCTATCACCTTGAACAGAAAGGAAGCTTTCGGCAGGACCCTGTGCCATTGATTTAGGTCTTCTGACTTGTTCTATGAGCCAGCAGAATCTTGCACTCACTCTGACTGGGGGTGGGGAGGGGACATTCCAGTTCTATTGCTGACCTCCCAACTGCACTCAGAATATTTTTCTGGGATTTGACATTTTTAGATTGGGAAAACTCAGATTTATTGATGAACCTAGCTGTGATTTGACCCTAAGAGTATAATATGTTCTCATCCCTCCTGTTTAATTTGGAAAGCAGCAAAGTTTTATATTTTATTTCCTTGGCCTACAACAAAACCTCACTGGCATCTCATCTAATCAAGGAATCTTCAGAGTCCAGGCTAAATCCGGAGTGGGTTGCTGGGAGAGAGATGGGCTAGGGGGAAGGGTGCTGTTTCTTCCCAGATAATGATGGCTGCTTCCCCACTCACCATCTGCTCCCCATCATGGTAGAAGCAGCTCCTTAGGAATTTGAGGGGAGCATTATTGAAGATAAGGATGCCTTTTATTAATAGAAAACAAGGGTCCTGGTCACTGGCAGTCATTTGAGAAATTCCGTAAAATCAGAATATCCAGAGGACCCTGGTCCTACCATTTGCTTCTCTTCGAACATCCTGATGGAGATTTAAGTCACGTGATTTCTATCAACTAAATAGTTTCATCCCACAGATCAGTCTCTTAGTCTCCTGCATGAGGTTTGCCTGAGATGTGACGTGGCTGATCTCATGGCCCCTGGGAGGTAGCATTTTGACTCCCTTCTAACTCCAGTCGATGTTCAACGGTCTCATTGTTTCTAAACAGGAGAGGCGAGCCTTGGAGCGGAAAATGTCAGAGATGGAGGAGGAGATGAAGGTATGGAGAGCTCTTTCTTCTTTCTTTGTGTGCCTATTCCCTAAATGCCTGCTAGGACTGGGTCATTGAGCCTAGGCCTGCCCCTCCAGATTTCCCCACACTCAACCCCCTCAAGAAGAGAGGATGTGTGAAGAGGAGCAGAGCATCTCTCCTCAGCCATTTCAGAGACCCCCTGTGGCACCTCGCAGCCTCTCTGGGAACCAGTGCTGCTCTGGCTTAAGGGGAGGTGTCTGCAGGCTGGAGACAAAGCGAAGGTCAACTTCTTCTAAGATTTTTCCAAGCAATAGCTTCACCCTCAGGGGCTGGATGAAAAGGCTAAAACAAGGGTCCCAGCTCTCTCGGCCTGGGGTGCCCAGGGGAGCCTGAACACAGCCAGAGACTTTCCTGGCTGGTGCGCCTCCCCGTCGCAGCCCTTCACTGCGACACAGTTTGAGTCATTCTGCAGCAGAATGCAGATTAATTCACACATCCATTTCCTGCCCCAGCCCATTTCCCTCGAAATATTCAGTAATATTCGGCACTCGCCCACTAGAATAAGCTCATGCCCCCAGTGACACCCCACGGCCTACTGCTATCCCCTCTCCCTTCACCGTGCCCTGCGATGACCATCATCTCCATTAGCCGCTTTAATGAACAACTGCCGTCCCAGGCGGCTTTGAGTGCTGAGAACTGGCAGTCGACCCCGAAGAGGCAATTCCCTGCTCTGGAAGGGGCCTGCAGAGCAGTAGGGAGCGTATTGCTGCTCGGGGTAGCCACCTGGGGGTGACGTGGGAGCATCTGAGCCCCGAGAGTACATGTTGCCTCATGCCCATAGTCACCTAGCACTTGCTCGGCTTTGGCCTTGTTTTTTTTTTAACTTCACGGATCTTATTTTACCAGCTGTATCATACAAAGCATTCCTCTGATGAAACGCGGGTTTCCTGACCTGGGAGCAACAAACACTGGGCTAGTACAAGGCAGATCCCCAGAGCTCTTGCTGTGAGCGAGCATCCCTAATATGCAGTTAGAGCACTTCAGGAGAGACATTTATTACTACAATGGCCAAAAAAATCAGTAATTTACTGAAGAAAAAACTTCTCAACACCTGACAAGGCCCAAGTTTACAGAAGATCCAGTGCTCATAGTCCTGTTACTCTTTATATAATTCCAGAATGAGGGAGATAAGCCCTGCCCTTGAGTTCTTAGTCACCATTCCACAGCTGTAACTGATCCCATTCACATAGAATTTTAAGCAATACCTATTTATATCTCCAAAAAGTGGCACTTAAATCTTTCAAGTTGATGTAAAACAGCAAGAAGTAAAAACACTTAATGGTTAATTCTCCTGTGGTAAAAACAGGATGACCCAACACCCTTAGCTTCTCCATCTTCTGAGTTTTCCAAACGCGCCTCACCTAGACCACAGAAGTATTCTCTCCCATTTCGAGCGGTGTGTTAGTAGAGCTAAACAGTTCTGGAGGAATGAATAGCCACAGTTCTTGGTTGCGCCGGGGGCTCCTCCATTTTTGAAACCCCTTGAGTAGACGCCGTCTGTACCCTGCTGTTAGGCAGCTGTCGGTGGTGCCCATTAAGGAACAGCCTAAATGCTGATGGGGAACATGTAAAGGAAGCCAAAGGTGGTGCCTTCTCATGAGGACCCAGGAGCCCAAGGCTAGCCCAGACCCACTAGGCACAGAACTCCGCACCACTCTGCCCAGGCCCGCGCACAAAGACCCAGAAAGTCCCCAAGTAGAGCAGCTGAGGTCCTTCTTTATTTCTGTGCCGATCCTAAATTGCCGAGCACGAGAGCCCCTTCAGTGGTTCTAGTTGCTCTCAGGCCTGTGGTTTGAGACAGGCTTCCAGATTTCTTTCTCCCTGTTCTGTCAGGGCGAGGACTTCCTAAACTAGGTCACGAGTTCCTTTCTTTCCTCAAGAGATCAAAATACATGAAGGTGTTCGCTCCCTCAGGCTCAGGTTGTTTGCCAGCCAGCTTAGATCCAGTTGTTTAAATTATCAAAGGAAGCCAGATTCTGGCTGTTTAGACCTCAAAAAATAGGCACACTGATTTGAAACTGGTTTTTTGTTGTTGGGTTTTTTTGTTTTGTTTTTTTTTTAGTTTAAAAATGGATGCATTCCGTCAATTGCCATTATTCTCCATCACCAGGTGCAAAGTCAAATGGAGAAGACACACCTGCAAGTTCTAAAACCCCTAAAAGCCCTTTGCTCAGGTCCAAGCCCAACACCAGGTTTACAGATCATCCGGCTCCCCCTAGAGGACGAAGGGAGAGGAACATACAAGCCTCACAGCCCACACCAATTTCGTGTTTGTGTCTATACCTTGCGATAAGCAAAAACGTCAAATATTTAGGTACAGACATCATAAAATTGATGTCACTGACCTTAAAGGAGTCCAAGAAGCTGCTTGGGTAGCTTTCAAGTCCTCCTTCATCCAGGCTACAGTTTGTGGTCAGTAACATCCTGGGAATGATCAGTAGTTAAAACCTCTGTGTGCTAGGCAGCCAGTCAACCACACATGTAACTGTCTTATCGAATCTGGGACCCAGTACAACTAAGGTCCAGTTAGCCCCCATGCCTGTTGCGTATCTGGTTTATACAGATGCTCAAACCTCTGGGAGCAGTCATTAGGGAGCAGGTTGAAGGTTGACCTCCAGTAAACCCCGAAGATCCAGTAGGTCCTCAAGGACCCTGGTGCCTGTTTTTCTGATTCTGGCAAATAAAGTGCAAAGGCCAAGTGAAATGGGGAACCCTGAGATGGGCTTGCCCAGATGTCCATGGGGCTCTGAGCTTGTGACATGGGTTGCATCTTTCTGGCCTTACTAGAAAGGTAAGTATTTATGAGTCCTCCCCAGGACATACTGCACTCAGATCCTGGATTGGAGTAGAATGATGTGCCAGCCTCTGACAGGTGCGCATGTCGGCGTGAACTGTGCGAGGCTACCCTGGGTCTGGCCCGCATCAGACCAGATGACTTTTCTCCTGCATCAGCCATTCAGCATTGGCCTCCTTCCCGGACCTCCTCCCTGCCTCTCCCAGGTCCTTGCATGAGGGGCCCAGCAGCCACTCCCCTTTTAGATTGCTCTTGGAATTTTTATTTTTACTTACTCTGGAAATACCACTAGCTGATCCTGCCCTTGCCCACCCTGCTCTGTGCCCTGCCCTCCCCTCCATCTTGCTGCCTTATTTTCAGTACTGTTTCCTACGGAACATTCCACCAGATTGTTTCCTGCCTCTCTCCCTCATGCTGATAACTTCCAAATTCTTACACCTCGATCTGCTTGTACTCACTTGTTAGATTGAATCATTTCATTGCTCGTGCCTTTTGTATTACTCCCTAGGAGGCAAGGACCACTTCATGTAATGACTATGGTTATGTTGAAAGCTTTGGTCCAAGGTCAACACCAAAAAAGGGTGAGAGCCGGGGACTTTCCATTGGTTCTTATGTTTGGTCCCTGCCCATTTCTTTAAATATTTCCATATGCTGCACCATGATCTCCTCTGATCTCAGTCCCCTCCATGGCCAGGATGCTTGCAGAGGGTAAGAACCATTGCCTGGTCCCTACCCTTCAGTGGCTCCATGGAAGTGTTGGGCTGCTTTGCCTTTTTTCCAAGGTGCTCATTCTCCTTTGGGGAAAGAGATATTCTGCAATTTGTCTCTGCTTGTTTTTCCTTTTCACTGTCCCCCCCCACCATGCTGCCTTTCATTTTCTTGCTTCTTCACGTCCAACTCTAACTCCACTCGTCCTTCATTTCTGTGCCTCACATCCATGTAGGTATGAGAGACTTCTCTCTGGTTTGTCATCACTAATCCGCAGGATTTTTCATCTTCCTCTGTGAAGCACTATTTGCATAATAAAATCCTTTTCCTCCTCCCAGAGAGCTGAAGGTCTTGGTTACAGGGTCAGTATGGACAACCACTTAGGCAAGGACAGTAACAGTAAGCAGGCCTGTGATATAGTCCCATTTATTGAAGTCTTTAGGTCCTTTATGGGCTACGAGGTATTAGGAAGAGTATCTGTGGACTGGTTATTCTGTCCCATTTGTAACACTTACAAATAGTGAGGTCTGAACTAGTACATCAGTCCAAGCAATTCCACTGTCTTGGACATTTGTTTCTCCAGCTTCTGTGCACAGCTGTAATTTTCAGAGCATGGGTCTGTATGGGAACACCTCCAAGCAGCCACCCGCCTGTTCATGAGCTGGGACAAAAAGCAGTCAGCTGTGAATTTCACGACGCAGGTAGTCCTCTAGCAAGTGAAAGGCGGGTTGGCAGTTCTTGGATCCTGGAACAAGCTTCGGGACTGCAGTGGAGAACTAGCAGGGTTAATGAAGCACCCTACAAAACAGGCCAGAGGACCCTGCCGATCGCTGTCCGTCTCTTAGCTTGTACGTGCCCCTTTGACCTTCTAAACAGTACATGCCTCGTGCAGAAAGTACTTAAAACAACAGGCCTCTCTTTTGTTTTCCTTGTTTCATTTTTTTAAATAAAAAATGAAGTAAGAGAAGGACCCGGGGGTCGGGGAAGTAGGAATAGGGGCCAAGTATGGGGCACGATGAGAGGAGGGAGAGAGAAAAGGGCCACAGCTGGGTTTAGGAACGCATGGAGTCCTCAACTCCAGGTCCCACTGAGGATGAAGAAGGGCCCCTGAGGCTATGGCTCAAGCGTGTTAAATCTGTTCAGAAGGCCCAAGCCACATGGTGGCTGTCCTTCTCAAAATCCATCCACACATGCTGTTCGAGAACATGGTGGTCGTATTCACGTGCTGACCTGCAGCGTAATTAGACCTTAGCCAGGAATCCTAGGCCGGCTCTCCCCCTCGTTGGTGCTTTTCTCCCTTCTCCCTCCTCTCACCCTGCACCATCACTCCTGCCTTTTTCATTTCCTTTCTTGCATGCCAACTAAAACAAAAAACAAAAAGTCATGTGATTTCTTTGTCCTACTTTTATCTCTTCTGGTCTGTCTTGTCTCTCTCTTGTCTGTCTGTCCCCTCCATGTTTCACTCTCTACAGAACCTCCACCAGCTAAAACAGATTCAAACCTTGAAGCAGATGAACGAGCAACTGCAGGCTGAGAACAGGGCCCTGACCCGAGTTGTGGCCAGACTCTCGGAGTCCGTCGAGTCCTCGGAAACCCAGGAGCTCTAGTTCTTGCCCCTCTTCTCCACCTCACTTCCCTCCTCCACCACTCCAGGCATGTTCACTCTTCTTGTTGGACCCAGAAGCCCTGTGCTCATGCCCCTCCATCGGAGCCACCGTATTGTGGGTGCCTCTAAGTGTCGGTCATCTGCAGATGGGAAGAGCCAGGACTGAGACCACAGAGTGAGACATAACAGCCTAGGTCAAGGGGAGGCCGTGGAGGAACCCTTACCTGGGCCGGTGGTCCATTTGGTAAGATCACCACATCACCTTCTCCTCCCCTGGAGACTGAGTGTGGATTTGCTCACTCGGCTACACATAGGAGTACACAGATGCGCACACAAACCCGTGGATGTGCAGACTCGGCGGGGTCATTGCCGAGCTGAGGTTGAGCTGCTCGGTCGGCAGCAGCCTGAGTACATCATGGTTGCTGGAGCAGCGGGGGCTGGTCCCGGACTCCAAATTCTTATTGGGCCTGGGGTAACCAAAGGCAGGGACTCTGAACCCTGGCTGGGAGCTTTTAATGTACGTAGTGCCTGGTGGGCCCATTCCTCCCCTCCCCGCCCTGCCCCAATCCCCAGAACGTACCAGGCAGAACGAAGTCTTCCACATCTGACAGCATGCTGCATGGGGACGACCAGCACTAAAGGCTAGAGCTCCACCACCAGCAACGATACTGTCCAGCCCACCATTTGAGTAGAATTGGCTGTTCTTTGCCTCCCTCTGCAATAATCTTTGCTTTCTTCCCCCTCCTTGGGAGGCATCGTTCTCATCCCTGTCACAAATCTCTGGGTCCTAAGGATGTGCCCCTTTACCCCCACCCCTAGCCAGTGTGTGGGCTGTGAGGCAGAACACAGCCTGGATAAATGAGACCCGCACACAGCCAGACCTTCCCTAATGGGGGTAGGTTTGCAAAGGACATGACAGTCGTTGGAGCAGAGAGGAGGGATTTATTCTCAGCTGGGAACCAAAAATTATGTTTGCTAACCTGGAGCCTTTCCTTGGATAGAGGCCTGAAAGACAAGCTCACAGATAACTTGTTTTCCCATCCGGCGGTGGTGTGATGGGGTCACTGCTGCTGAGCAGTTTCACTCTTTGAAATGAGTTTTTAATTTTCAGCAACAATCTAATTAGTCCTGACCAGTGCCTGTTCTTTTCTCTGCCTATTTGCTTGTGCCTTCAGGGTCAGTAGCTGGCAGTTAATACCCACTAGATCTCAAGCACCCAAATTACCATAAGGGCTGAGCTAATATCCTGCTGTAGATGCTATCACGCACAGAAAGAAAACTGAAAGGGAAGTAATACCAGGCCTGGCACCAAGCAAACTTAGTTACCCTACTTATCGAGTGCCATGTCAGGTCCTAGCTCCATGCTTTAAAGTAAGCCTCAGGATTACTGGAAAATTTGACGGGTGAACTAGGGACCCACAGAAGATGTCCCAGTTATTTTTAGTTTCCCTCTTTGTGCAACACAGTATAGAGTATGGAGCAAAACTAGATCTCGTGCTTTCAGTGGTTAATAACTAAGGTAACAATTATCACTTATTAAGACCTGTGCACAGTACCTTCTATGCTTTTTCTCACTTATTCCCCAGAACAGTCATTTTAACATGTGGGGGAAAAGCAAGTTACAGATCAAGTAACCTGTCCAAGGTCACTCAAAGAGTAAATGGTAGAACCAAAATTCATACCCAATATGTCATGTTCCAGACCCAAGCACTCAACCACTGTGATTTTAGCTGCCTCGTGTTTGGCACAGAGTTTTAGCCATTTGTTAAGCATATGGCCTAAACAGTGCAAGAAGAATCTTTTGAACAACCATAGTGTGCCCCACCTTCGCAGCTGAGAGATGGGGGGCAGCATTCTGCTTTCTCTGCACTCTTGACTTCTTCAACAGCCATTACCACCCAAAGATTTTGCCACTGCAAAGAAACTATTGCATAGCACATGTAACAGATCAGCAAACTGTGGCCCATCGAGTCTGGCCCATAAGCCATACAAACGGAGGGGGGGCAGAAATCAAAAGACAAAAACTATTTCATGACACATGAAAATAATGGAATCAAATTTTGATGTCCAAAAATAAAGTTTTATTGGAACTGAGCCATGCTCATTTGTTTACATATTATCATTATGTTTATAAGTACTTTTGGGCCACAAGAGCAGAGTTGAGTAGTTGGAGCAGAGACGATATGGCTTGATACCAGTTTTCTGGCCCTTTACAGAAAACACTTGCCGACACCCACCAGAAGGAAAGAGGGGATAAATAAGCCAAACTGACAGTGTGGCCAAGAAAGTTTGCCCTGACATTTTGGGTGTTTTGGGGTTTGTTTTGTTTTTTAATAATCCCCTAGAGAAATCATCTTATCTCAATGTGTTGTGTACGCCATTTCCAAAAGAACGTAAGCGTGGGACGCCCTCCCCACCTCCCAAGTAGTCAGAAGCGAAGCAGCCTGGGTAAGGCTCATCCTGAGCTCCCATCACCCTGCAGCTAGCTAGCCTTGTCCTTCCCAGGACTCCGCAGCTTTAAGGCCCTCATAGCCTCTCCTTCTTCAACACATTCCTCATCAAAGGACAAAGTCATGTTTGGAAAAATATGCACTTAAATTTTATTTGCCCAAGACACCTTAACATCAAACCAGTGAACTGGTAATTTAGAAGTTAAGAAAGCTGACCTCCAGGGGGCTGAAATGATAAAGCTCCGTTAAACCTCATACTTCTCTAGTGCTTCCGCATGTGTTCTTATTTAATCATTCTTGAACTCCAGCTGAGTATCAGATAACACTGTTCATTTCCCCCTCTCCCTTTTGAGAGTCAAGTTTATGAGACTGTTTTCCCCCTTGATTTCTACATTCCACGTCTTGTACTTTTTGACACTCCCTTAAGATGTCAGTTGTAGCGTATTGCAGCTGGGAAATTGCCTTGTCCAAGTTTTGTTTTTGTTTTTTTTTTTTCCAAAGAATTGAGTTCTTAATGTGGAAATAAATCACCAAGTCTCAACGACTTGTTTGTACATTTAAAAAGCAGGGAGGGGTCAGCTCAGTTCTGATTTGGTGAGCTGCTGGCAGAGGAATGAAATCCAAGACACCTGCAGCTCCTTCCCTGCCTATGGAATGCTATTGTGGAAATACCACTTTCAGAGTCTCACTGATACCCAGGCTGGCGGTGGGATCCAGGATGGAGCATTGGAGAGCAGATGGGAAGCTGAAGCACAGTGGGGCCAACCTGGCTGACTTTTTCTAAAAATCTTCTTGGACTGAGCTTTCTGAGCATTCACTTCTGGTAGTCAAGGCCACAGGGATGGAGGCACAGAAGAAAGCAGCCAGAACAGCTTTGATTAGGCTGGAGGTAGGGGAGGCAGAGGCAAAGGACCAAAACTTTATTTTGATACTATCTGGATTAAAATCTTTTTAGTAAAATTTGCAGATCACCTACCTGCCATCCCATATTCATGGGAGGACTCACTGCGGTAATGAGAATCCCGAGAATCACAGAGCACGTCCTGCCCGTCAGCACACTTCCCCGTCCGGTTCTCCTGGGGCCCTCACAGGGGCCCGACTTGATGAGCGACCGGGGCACAGAGGATGATTCTTCTTCAGACACAGAAATGGAAGCCCAGACAAACTGAGTGATTTGCTTAAAGTAATAGAGACCATTCATGACCGCGACGGTGCTGGAATTCTGGACTTCTGGTGCTCTGTTTTCCAACCCCGCACGACCTCTGTAATGAAAGAATCATCTTCAGAGTTAGGCACACATGGGCTTGGTATCAGCTTTGCCATTTAAGAGCTGGGTACTCTGGACTAGTTAAGAAATTCTTCATTTCCTCATTTGTAGACGTAAGGATAGCACCTGTGTCACAGACTCCTGCAGTACTAATGAGACAATGGGAGTGAGACCTTCCCCATTATGGTTGTTCACTGCTGTTTTCGTTCCCTTAATACAAATCCTTTATGTCTCTGTGATACATATATTTGTGCATACCCATGGTATTCGTGTAATCAAGTCTACATCCTCCATAAGAGATTGAGGAAACAAAAATTCTGTTTCTTAATGTACAGTTACAGCCTCTAAGTGGTTAATAGCAGTGCCGGAGCTAGAATTAAACAGGCCTCATGACCGCCGAGCCCAGGCCATCTTTGACTGGTGACCTCACCTCTTGCTGGAGTCCTGTAGGTTTGCTGACTAAAAAGCACGTTTGCCTTGATGGGATGTAAATGTAGATTTCTGTAGCTTTCACGGTGAAGATGTACTTCCCCTCTAACCGAAGTCTCCCTGAACTGCCAGCAGGGCCCACACAGGAACTGTCCCCTCAGCAACATCCCATTGTAGTGCTTTAGATGCTCAGCACACCTGCCAGCCTGTCTGGTCCCATATGAAGACGTGGCTGTCCAGACTAGGGCCTGGGCTGCCGCGTTTCCTTTGTTCACCTGTTGAACAGCACTGTGTCATGTCCCAAGATGGTAGAACTGATAGAGTTGAAATCTCTATCCCCCCACCCCCCAAAGCACCTATTTCCTGGATTTGTAACACTATCCCTAAAACTGCTGCTGAGGACCCTTGGTATCCCCACAGGGAGCTCCGGGTGAGAATTAAATACATACCTATCGCTCCTTGTGTGTCACAGCTGTGCAGTGACCGAATTTGTACACTCCCTGGGTTTTAGTGGTTGAAAGTGGATACTTTGGGTGGATTTTATCACAGAAGGCACGAGGAGGACCTTAAATCTCGTGGGTGTGACAGAAAGCCAAGTTGTGCCCCTCCCCCTTGCATTCCTATTTTTGATGGGGTGTGAAGCAGTGCCTGCCCTTAACTCTTTTAGTTGACCAGGACTCCTTTCTCAGTTTCTCCTCTATCCTCACCAGCTCCCTTTGGCACTCTCCTTACTATCTCCAGGCTAGAAGTGAGTTCAAGCGCCAGAACCATTGTGAACAGTTACTGATTCAGGAGAATGAAAAGACACGTGGTGTGGAACGTGAAATAAGACGCTATTGCTGAATATGCTAGTTCAAAAGATGGAGGGCTGTGGTCTCCCTGATGCACATCTCCCTTTGCACATCACCAACTCAACAAACATGAAGATTCGGGGGACTTCCATCCCTGGGAGAAAGGGTGGTGACAGTACCCTGCATATGCTGCCTCTGAACACCCTGCTCGCTGGGCTGGCCTGGCCTGGGCAGGGACGGTACGCGGAGGTGGTGATTCCAAGCTCTAACACACCTTTCCCTCTGTCACCCTGCAGGTGTTAACAGAACTGAAATCCGACAACCAGAGGCTGAAAGATGAAAATGGTGCCCTCATCAGAGTCATCAGCAAACTATCCAAATAGACTAGGCTTCCAGTTTGGGAGGGAAGGGGCAGCATTTGCTGTTCCCACCCCTCTTTTCCAGCCATTGCCTTCCAACCAAAAGAAGTGAATGTTTTGGTGGAAGGACTTCTTTCTGACCCTCCTCCAGTCACCTCCTCTGCACCGTACACGTCCTCCGCACTCTGAATGCCCTGTCCCTCCCGTGCCCCGCACCCCCTGAGTTTATGGCAGTTTTAATTGAAGCATGATTGTGATCATTTGAGCCGTTCGAGCCATCTGGAGAAGGCCTCGGGGAGTCCACCAGGCTCAGCTGTGGGTCCCAACTCCCTGCTGCGCAGCTACTCGTCCACACTGGATTTGATCCAAACATGTAAGGCTCTACCCAAACCAGTACCCCACAGCCTTTTACACCGACCCAGTGTCCTCTGATATAGGTGAGTCTTACGGTGGCCATTCCAGGATCCTGTCTGGGATGCCAGGGGAAACAGGATGTTGGCTTAACCATGGGACAGCCTCTGGAGCTATGTTTCCATTAGATTTCCAAGGTGACCATGACTCTGCATTGAAGGTCTCTGCTAGTCTGCACCTCTCAGGAACTGACTTTTCTCTTACTCCTTGCTGGTGTTACTGTTATTTTTTCTATCAACAACCCAGTAACATGCCTGATTAGTCTTAATTCTTGTTCTTTCCTCATGCCTGGCCCCCTTCCCCAGGGCTCACATGACCCTGGCTTCCTTATTCCTTTCCTTTCTATCCTTCTATTTTCCTTTCTGTCTCCCCTCCACCACCTTACCACATTGTGTAAGAGCTAGAACAGAGCATCTGACCTCACTTGTCTTTGGCCATTATGGAAAATCATTTCTCCTGGGCTGCTCTGGAGACCAGAAGAATTGCCTTGGCGGCACCACTGGCCCTGTTGCAGAAAAGCCAGACCATGGCATAAGTGTCAGCCCACTGTTCTCATCTCCCACTTGTCTTCCCTACACAGTGATTTTCCTTATTAGAAAATTTGGGCTCTGAACACTCCATTCTGCCTCATCTCCTTTTGACCTTGTTTTCCTCTCTTCACTCTGGCACCTGCTCCAAATGAGAAAGGAGGTCCTTGGAGGGAGTGGAGAGCTGGGATGGGTGGGAGGTGGACCGGGGAGTGGAAGCACACATACCTGGTGTGAGTAGAGTATCTGGGGACATCTGCAACCTTGTGACAAAGAGGACAGAAGATAGATCGTGCTGTGGTAATGGTGGTGAATGTGATGATTTCCAGTGGCTAGATGTAGGGGAGAGACCATTTGTTTTCTAAAAGCCAACAGGAGAAATGACCTCTTAATAGAGGCTTAAAGTGATGGGATACTTCCAACCCATTGAGTCTCAGAATCTTAGAGTGGCAAAGCCCAGAGGTCATTTGGTTGAGCTTTCCATTGTCACGTTAGAGGGACCCCCGCCGGGACCCCACTGCCCCAGCTCTGGCCCGCTGTCAGATAGCTGTGCATTTGTCCCTCGAAAGGTGGGCAACTCTGATAACCAGAAAGCTTTTCCTAAGATAAGTCGAGGTCTGCCATGGGGGCTCCACACGGTCCAGTCCTGCCCTTTGATATGACAGCCCCTCGTGTCGTTGGTCTATCTCACCTTAACCTTACTTCCAACTGGCGTTTTCCCAGTCCTTGAAGGCATCTCTCATATGGCATACTTTTCCTGCCTGCCACATCTCGTCTGTCTGCCTAACATATTTGGCCTTTAGAGGCATTTTCTCCCATGGTTGGTTTGATGTGCGGGTCATGTAAATCCTCCTCATTTTAGAGTGGCCCATGGTATTCAGTGGTTAGGGTGGTCCGTTCTCTTAACATATACCACCTCTGCCCATTTTTAATTTCTTTCCCAAAAACGACAGTGTAGTTCTTCACGGCCCTCTTTAAACCAGAGGTCCTAATTCCAGAATAGGAAATATGTCTCCTCTGGCAAGACCCCATTTTTAGAATATACAGAATTCTCTCTTCCATTTCCGGCCATTTTCCAAGAGAAGCCACTACTGATTAGGATTTCGTATGACCTTGGGAGCACTGTCAGCTCAGTTCTCAGGGAATGCTAAATTAGAGTAAAATGTTTCCTCACTTCCACTATAAACATCTTCTTCATTCTAGGGAGAGGGAAAATCAACAGAAGGTGTTGACTCATTGATTCTCCGGGCACATCCTGGATATTGGGCAAGGCATGGGGGTGGTTCCTGCCTCTTTCTCAGGAAAGGAAAGCTGAATTACTAGGAAAATATCCTGACCCTCTCACATTAGATAGACCAGGGAAAGGGGTTACAGTTCCCTCATCTGTTTGTGCCTTTCAAAAGCGTGGGACAGAATCTAAAAACTCTTAGGTGGGTGTTAGGCCCTGCTGCTTCACACAGCCCTTTCACATTAAAGATGCCTTTTCTTGCCAGAAAGTTTTCCTTGTGATGAAAAATTTGCAAGCTTTTCAATCTCAGGAATATTGGATTCTGTGGCCAAAAAACCATGAAAGTGTAAACCATCCCAGGTAATTTCAGGCACTCTCTCTTATGCAATTAATTATATTGGACAGATAGACTTTGAATTCTGGTCCCTTCCCAGAGAATAAAATACCCTTTCCTCACAGTTGCGTTGACTGGAAGCCCAGGAGTGATGTCTAGAGACCTAATGGCCAGCCGTGTGCTCTCGGTGCCGACAGCAACAGGCCTCCCTCCACTTGTGCTTTTGGTCTCTGCAGTGGCCACAGACCTGTCCTCAACCTACTGGTCTGGATACCCAAGAGCACCCCAGATAGCTCGGGCTGTGTGAATACTGCCGGTCTGGCCAACAATTTGGGGCTCAGCTGTGCTGGGTCACTTTCAGACTCTTTACATGAAATAGCAGGATGGGGATGAGAAGGTTCTTGGTACGACTTTATATCCTCTGTTCTCATTAATTTGATATTTTTCAAAACCAAGCCACACCTTGGGGAGTAATGATTCGGCCATTCCAGAAGATTCTCTGGCTGAAGTTTCACTGCTCCGCCTGTTTGGCCTTCAAGGGCTGCTTACTCTTTTCCAGATAGCTCTTGGGCATGATGGCCCCTGCCCCAGTCCCAGTCTCCAGTGCAACAGGGTCATGCAATTCTTGGGGTGTTGTCTGTAAAGAATCTGGAGAACAGACATGCCCTGGGCTTGTGCAGTGCGCTGGGTTCTCTCTCGGGCAGTCTTGCTTGACATCTCCTGGAAGCCGCCTGGCTTTTCCTATCCATCTACAGGATGTGTTCACTTCTTTCTGCGCCTTCCTGTCTCCCACTCCGTGTTTGAGACCAAGATACATTTATTGCTCTCTCAGGCCTCTGGTGAAGGAGGCTTCAGATCTCTGGTTTGGATCATTTCACGGGCTTCCCCTGCCCAAAACAAAACGTGCTTATTCGGTAGTTGTGCTCAGAAATGAGAAGGCTGAAACCCCATGCGTTAGCCTGTGAATCTCGCAAAATCGTGCGTCAACTTTCAGGGGCTTTTAACTGAGCCACGGATGAGAGGAGGAGAAATTCTCAAAGCTGCGCATTTGGTTTGGTCTCTGGCTTTCTGGCCCCAGCGCAGCCTCCCCTAGCCAGACAGACTGCCTCCTCTCGGATACAGGCCAGCGTTTCTATCCCGACCACGGTGACAGTCCTTCTGCCGTGGGAGAAGCATAGAGAGGAGAGATGAGCTATTGAAAATATTTGCCGGTTCCTCAGCTTCCAGGCTGCTCAACCCCACGAAAGGGAAAGCCTCAAGGATTTAGCAGCTGAGCCACGAGACAGGGGGCAATTCCTGGTACCACCCCACTGGGTGAGCCACTGGTTCCACTGGAGCTTAACAGGTGACACTAGATGGGCGCTGGCTGCGGTCTTTCCCTCCCGGCCATTCCCAGGGCCACTGTTTGTGCCAGCACCACACCTAACTCTAGACACACAGTTAGCAGCCCCAAATCTTGGCCCAATTCTAACTGCAAAGCTTGCACCCCACACTGATTTTTAAGGCAGGTTTCAGCCCATCAAAGGATGTGAGTCCCCTCACCCAATAAGCAAGACAGCTTTGAGGGCAGAAGAAGGCAACAGGAAAGGATAAGCCCCTAGGAGTCAGAACAGCAGCATTCTAGGGCCAGCTCTTACTAGCCATGTGACCTTGGGAAAGTCACCTTCGCTGTCTGCAGAATGCAGTTTTGGACTAGATTGTCCTTAAGATCCCTTCTAGGCTTACAATTCTGTGATATAGTTATTCCTGGGAAGATCAGAACATTTCTTAACTCAGATTTTTGCTCTTTCTAATGGCAAAAAGTCTTGTTTTCTTCTGGATTCGTACTGTTTAACATCAGCACGTCAAGGTTGACTTCTCATCCTTGTTAGAAAGTGAATTTAATATTGAGGGTAATGGAATGGTGTTGCAATTGCTTTCCCTCCTAATGGCTCGGTAGGAATATTAAAACCTGCAGAGGTGGAAATTGGAGCTCATGGGGAAATGGATGGAAAGCCATTTGTTGCAGGCAGCCTTTGGACAAGTTGTTTTAAAAGGAAATAGAGCTACTGCTTCATAGATTTCGTCAGCCTTCTCGAATGTGGTCTTCATGGCCCTTAGCATCCAAAGGGCAGACAAGGCCCCTCTGCTTAGCACCAGCTTACACATAGTCTTAAATTCCGCCCTACAGCAGCAAGAGAGTTTTCCTCAATAAAAACCTCAACCTTTAGTTCTGGGGAGCCCCTCTGGGTTCTGGACTATCCAAAGTACGAGGTTCCCGCGCTGTTCAGGGTGATCCTTCCTTTAAGCAGGTCTGCAGAGGAGACCGCTGGTGCAGGAAGAGCTCAGAGACCCTAAGTCCACACAACAGTGTGGCATAGAACAGCGCTCGGCTCCAAAGAGCCTCCTGCAGGACTGGGTGTGAGTGGAGTGAAAGGCCAGAGACCCTGAAAGTGAAGGTGGCTGCGGTGGGAAGGTGGGAAGGAGGCAGAACCAAGAGCAGGGTGGAGGCTGCCGGCGGGGTGGGGGCGGGGCGGGGGTGCGGTTACTGAGCAGCGGAGCTGTATGCAGGGAAATGAGTGCTCCTCCCTGGTACCCTGGTCCCTCGGCCTCCTGCAGAGCAGAGATGTTAATCAGCTTCCCTAATGGGTATCGACATGGCTCGGGAGCAGTAGACCCTATCAAGGACAGCTATTGATCGCTTGTGTTCTGATTAGATCGGAAAACAGATCAACTTCATTGCAGCCCAGGAACTGTTACTGTCACAGCTACTAGGGAGGAGGTGGTCTCCGGGGGCTGATAAAAACCAGCTCGAGAATCTTGACAAGCCTGCGCCTGCTAGCGACTGCAGAGTAAGAGATGCATTCACTTCTCCTTTGAGATTTGCGGTTGAGGGTCAAATTGAGCATAGGTGCGGCTTGCAACCCAGTGTCCGGGAAGAGTATAGGGCGTGGGTTTGTTCACAGACAGACACCACTGGTGAGTGATGAATTGACAAATGATCTGATCTTACCTCAACAGGTGAAACGACTGGGAGATCACCCTTGCTTCTAACCTGCATGCACACACACGTGCACACATGCACACACGTGCACACATGCACACACACGTGCACACATGCACATCTGCTGGCCTGGTGTGTGCTTGGATCAAGGTTATCCAAGTCTGTTATAATGTTAATTCATATCTTTTGCTCTTCCCCTGCCCTTCCAATCCCCCAAAGGCCTTCTCTCTGAGCCATTCTCCAGTCCCATCTGCTTATCATTTCAGACTGTGAATCTGCCAGAGTAATAGTTTCTGTTATTTCTCCTCCAAATTTCCCCTTCATGCTTCCAGTAAACTTCTTGGGTGTCCCCTTAAGGTGACATTAGGATGCTCTTGTGTCCCTACAAGCAAAGAAACTTACCGTTCACCCTTCCTCTCCCATCTCCCACCATTCTTTGTTCTCTGCTAGTCTCACTTGGAGCTAGTGGCACTTAGGAGGTTTTCCACACATCAGCCATCGTTCCTGTTCCACTTCCATTCTCCAACCACAGCCACCACCACCCCTCTTCTAGTTTCAAAGGTCCCTCGCCTTTCTAACAGCCTCTCAGAGACGAGGTCTGAACGGTGGGCCCGTCTGACTTGTCCGTGGCCTGGCCAGGGAGACCATGGGTAGCCGTGTGTAGCTTACTCAGTCTTTTGTCCTGAGAGCTTTTGACTATTTCCAGCTAGGGACAGAGTATTTTCCCAGAAAAAACCTCAGCCCATTGCTCCCTTGCAGGCAAGGATGCAGGAGAGGCACACTGACTGCAGGGATCCTCTGAGAGCCTCCGATGTTCCCACAA